TGACATTGAACATATTAATCCTCATCGTTGAACATATTCCTCAGTAAATATAACTTCTTTACACAATATAGACAGTAGATAAATACAAAAAGTCCTCTCACCGTTTTATATCTGTCATTCTTCTGTTTTTTTTTGTAATCCTCTATTCTTTCTCTTATGCCTTGTGACCATAGAAACCCAAGGTGGACATAATCTCCCAAACAGTTGAGACTTTCAATCCTGTTTCCCAAAATACTCCCCTGTAGATGTTATTTAAATTTTTTGTTTGCTATCTAAACTATACGGCAATCTGATATAAAACAAGAATGACACTTTTAAATATATTCTTAGTATTCATAACTATATTTTGCAATCTAATCTTCCCCCACAGAATTGATTTTGCATATAACCGACTATATCTATTGTGTCAACAAAATCCCTTAAATATCGGGGTTGGTAACAGAAACATACACTAAATATCGGGGTTGGTAACAGAAACATACACTTAAACGTGTTATATTTTTTAAACCTCATTTATTTAAACAGTATTAAAAATCGTAGATAGCTTGGGGGAAGTCGAGTACATACTTTGAAATCTATCTGGAAGTCTCAAAATCTGCTCGTGTTCTGGATCCGTCTCAAAATCGACGCGTGTTCAAAGTCGGCGACCTTAGATCGGACCAACCTTCAACGTCTTTTCTGAAATCAGTCATACTTGTTCGTCGTCGAGGTATTCTTGTACGCTATCTTCGGAAATCAATGATAGAACTCTTCGCCATCGAGGTCTTTGGAAATCAGTGACCTTAGAAACCTTTTCGAACTTTAGGATTTTACCTTAGAACCACGACCTTTGTACGCGGTTTAGAGATTCACGACCTTTGTACGCGGTTTAGAGATTCTTGTACGCTGTTTGGGGGTTTGGCGAAGAGGAAGGAGTTAGGGATTTGGGATTTTTTGGAAGGATTCAGCGTTTCGAGTGGGGTTTTGGAGTTGATTTTTGGAGTGCCATTTGGGGTGGGTATTAATTTTGAAGGGGTGGGTTTTTGGAAGGTATTTTGAYGAGGGGGTATTAATTTCGAATGAGTGGGTTTTTGAGTTACTGATAGGGTTTTTGGAAGGAAATTTTTTTATGGAGTGTGGTGTGTAGTGATATTGACAATGAGGTGGTATTGGCAGTGAGGTGGGTACTAATTCTCAACTATTCACTCTATATTTTTTTGTTCAATTTTGGATTTCAATATTTTTTTTTTTTCATGTTCCATTTTTCTAAATTGATTTTACTTATTTTTTAATTCATTTTACATTTTGATTTAAAATTTTTGAACTCTATAATTTCCATTCAATATCTTCTTTCCTACAATTTAGGTGCATTACAGATTTGTTGAAGGGTAGTTTCGTCACGAATTTATAGGGGTAATGGTAGGATAAATTTACCTATTTTGATGGAGAGGGTACATTTGTCTACATAAAATCACGTAGTTCAGCTCTAACTGTTCTTTAGTTATTTTTCTGATATCTAATTATTTTGGCCATTTTTCAAATCAAACTATTTAATTTAGCTATTCCTCTAGTTGCCCCTTAGAAAATTGAGCTAAGTAGCATGTTTTAAAGTTGAGCTTCAATAATCACATATGTTAAACTTGGCTTAAGATGTATAGATGCATTAGATAGCAACTGTGTTAAGAAAGAACAACAGCCTACTAAAATTATCTCAATCACAAAAGAAGTAAATAAATCGAATTGGACCTTACAGCTTAAAAAAAGTAGATAAACCAACCTAAAATATTTAAGCAACTAGAATGATAAATAAACAAAATGAAGAAGAAAATTAATACTTGATTTATAATGGTTCGTTGGGGGCTAGTTCTCTAATCATCATAGGTTCCACTAAAACGCCAAGGATAATTCCAATAATTAACAAGCATTTTACAATGATTTCTCTCCGTTTTCTTTCATACAGAAAGCAATCATATGTAAAAATCACTCTTATTACTTGATTCAATCTCCCCAGTGCTTTTTACCACAATATTTAGTGTTTACCCCACTTGTCAAATCATTTAACATTTCATGAATCTCATATCAAATCTCTATATTTTGGGTGCTATTCAAAGTTTTCAAATAAGGAGACAATTTGAAGTTTATCCATGAAATATCCATCTATTATGAAATAAAGAAGTTTTGTACTGACACCTGAGTAGAGAGAATGAGTACATGAATGAACGACACCGCATCTGAATGAAAGAGATCCTAAGATCATCAAAGTATGGTTAAGAAAGACTTAAAAAAATTGATAGTAACTACTTATACCAACAAGAGATGCACATTCTTTTTTTCGATGGCTCAATCATAAGAAATTCAAAGTTTTAAACATGTTTAACTTGGGATATGTGAGTGAGAACACAGCATCCTAAAAGGATCGGTGTTTAGGGACAGTCAACAAGTTGTTTCGTCCGGAGTTAGTTAACTTATTTTGTACGTTTTAGACTCTGATATATATTAATATTCATAGGGTTACATCTCAAAATCAATTARACTACACTTATATTAAAAACCTTAATTTGTTAGGTTCCTTATCTTGTTAACGTGAAATCATTAAAATTATTATCCAACAGTTTCTCAATTCACCACTCCCTTTCAAACCTATTTACAACAAAAATCCAACACCTTTCACTTTGCACACAATTTAAGCCCTTCCATTATTTTATTTTTTAAGCTAAAAAAGTGCGGGACATGAAACTCCTACCTTAGGGCAAAAAAAAAAAAAAAAATAATATCTTAAACCAGTTAAACTATATATCACGGAAAGTCGTTAATTTTTTTTCCTCGGATTAGTATAACAATATGTACAATAACGACATTTTCATCGAAATATATACCTTATCTAAACTATTCTCGTTGACCACTTAGAAACACTTTGAGCTATCCTCCCTTTTGATTGACATACATACCAAACATTCATTAACAACTCCCCCAACCCCAAAAGAAAAATGAAAAAAAACAAAACAAAACAAAAAGAAAGAAAAAAAGACCTATAAATACCCTATGGACGAATGATCCCTCAGCCAAATCTACCTTCTCCTTCTTCCCGGAAAACAATGGCCAAAATTTCCTCCACTCTCTCACTTCCTCCATCGCTTCTCCATTCCATCTTCCTCATTCTCCTCCTCGGCGCCATCTCCAAATCTCACTCTGCAACACTCCTCAACGTTCTGGACTTCGGCGGCCGCCACACCGGCGACTGGACCGTGCCGTTCCGCCGTGCGTGGGCGGCGGCGTGCTCGTCGTCTGAATCCGCCATTGTTTACATTCCCAAGGGGCGGTACGTGGTCCGGCCGACGATATTCCACGGAGGCGGCTGTGAGAATGGCGACATCAGTTTCCACATCGACGGAGCGCTGGTGGCGCCGGCCGACTACCGGATCCTTGGCGGAGGGGAGAGCTGGCTGAGCTTCGAAGGCGTCGATGGCATCTCAGTGAGCGGCGGAGTTCTCGACGCCAATGGCGCCGCCTTGTGGGCCTGCAAATCCTCCGCCGCCGCTCACTGCCCCGTCGGAGCCATGGTACCTGCTTCTTCCAGTTCATATAGCGGTTTTTCTAAATAGTTTTATGTTTTAAACGTCAATTTTTTCTTTTTTAATTTTTTCTTTTTGTTTATTATTTTTAATTTTTTTTCAATGAGACCTCCAATTTTATTATAAACAAGTTTAAATTGCCAAAATTAGCATGTCATTGTACTAAAAACAATTATAGAGCTCCATTAAATATTTGATAACTTAAAAAGAGAAATTTAAAAAAAATTAATTGTCAAATAATTAGTGATATTGAAAAAGAAGTTCCTTGAAGTCTAAGTTTTTTCCTTTTGATTTATATGTTCTTTTAACTTACAATAGCACTAAAAATGGGGAAAGCTTTTTCTTTTTTTAATTATTGTTTTTACCTTTCTTTTTGATTCGTTAAAAAATTTAGGTGCTCATCCGTCCATCAATCAACACCTAAATATTTTCCTCCAGCTCATAGTTTTTTTTTTCCTCTAATTTTTTTCAAAATTTCTATTTTGGTTAATTATATTTAATGTTGAGATTTCGTTCAATTTGATCCTTTAATATACTTTCAAAATACCTATTTAGTGCTTAAAAAATGCCTATTTTGGATTATATTATTTTAGAAAGTGATCATTTGGATATCTTTTTTCCTTTTTCTTTTTTTCTTTTTTCAAATTGACATAATTTTAACAAAACACTACACTTCATAATTTTTTTGAAATATTGTCATGACTTTGTATTTAAGGTTTTCATTGTATATAGAATTTGTATTAGGATTTACAATAAGTTTTTAAAAATAAATAGACAAAAGTATACATTTTGGATTATAAAAATCAAAATAGACCAAAGTTGAAAATAAAAGAATTAAAATATAATTTAACCAAAAAAGCATGTAAGACCCAATACAAGCTTATATTATCACGTTAATATACATGTATTCTAATTCAAACCACATTATTCATCAATTTAAATATGGTTAATAGAAAATAATGGCAAGAATGAAAGGGCTACTTAGGGCCCGTTCGGGAACGTGCATATTTCTTGTTTTAGTTTCTTCTTTTTTGAATTCAAGTATGATAAAACAATATTTTTATTTATGTTTTGGAACAAATTAGAAATGAGAACAAGAAAAGAGAAACTTGTTTTGGTTGTTTCCAAAATTTCTATACAATTGTGAAAATATTTCCAAAAAAATTGAAACAAGAAACAAAGTTTTTTTTTTNCAAACAAGAAACAAAGTTAGTTGTAAAATTTTTAGATTTCTTAAGAAAATTGGAAACGAGAAACAGAAAACGAACACGTTACTAAACATACCCTTAAAACTTCACAGATCATTCAAAGGACCAAAATAAAATGGGGAATAGTATTTGTTTCTTATTTATCATTTTAAGAAACATATTTCTAAAATTGAGTAGAAGTTTTGGAAACAATAAAATTAGGGCTCGTTTGGTATCGTTCCAGTGTTCTTGTTTCTTAATTTTTAATGAAGAAAAATATATTGCATGGTTCCAACCTCCAAGAATTCAACTATGATAAAACAATCTTTTTATTATGTTTTGGAACAAATTGGAAATGAGAACAAGAAATGAGAAACTTGTTTTGATTGTTTCCAAAATTTCTATATAATTGTGAGAATGTCCCCAAAAAAGGAGAAATAATAAATAAAGTTAGTGGTAAAATAATTAGATTTCTTAATAAAATTGAAAACGAGAAACAAGAAATGAAAATGTTACGAAAGGAGCCTTAGTTCTTGTTTCCATTCCTATTTTTAGTTTCTTTCTAAAATAAGATTAATGAATTATTTTATCATTTTTAACTTTAAGAATGCATAGGATATATATAACATAAAATTTTTTAATATTTACTCAAAAATTAGATTTCATATAAAACTTTTACTTTTTTTTATCTAAAATTTTAGAGGACAATAATAAATGAAAATGATTATCAAACATATTTTTATTCTTTTTTATATATAAAAAACGAATTATAAATCGTAGTTTTATTCTTTATTTATTTATTTTAATTGAAAAAGAAGAAACGAAAAATAAAGGAACAAGAAATGAGAAATAAAAAAGAAACATGTTACCAAATATGTCATATGTGCTCTATACGTTGGTGTTAGTTTTGTTTTTATCCTATTAAGAGTTAAATTTTACTTTATATATTTTACTTAAATCTTGTCAACATCCTTTCCTCCAAATCAATTGAAAATTTAACATTAATTAAAAGAAATGTGTAGCTATATATGAGTTGAGGTCAATGGGACTCTTTCATAAGATTTAATTTTAACTATAATGCAACCACCATCCATCTTACACAACTTCTAATCTTAAAAAGTGTTTAAATTTGAAGGTGAATAAATCCTAACGTACAAATATTAAAATAGTACTTTAACTAATTGTTGACTTTGGAATGCAGACACTAAGTTTTCGAAACTCGGACAACATAAGAATTAAAGGGTTGGTGTCGAGAAACAGCCAATTGTTCCATATATTGATTGATGGATGCAGAAATGTGTTAATAGAAGGAGTGAATATAATTGCACCAGGAAATAGTCCCAACACCGAYGGCATCCACGTGGAATCATCCTCACACGTGACCATCCTTCATTCTTTCATCCAAACAGGAGACGATTGCATATCCATTGGCCCTGGGTCCCGCAACCTCTGGATTCAAGGCATCAGATGTGGTCCTGGTCATGGCATTAGGTGATTCTCTTGAACAATAGTTAGATACTGACTATCAACACCTATTTCTTATTGATCAGCAGTAAAGAAAAATGAAGATAAATTTTTTGTTTTCAAAATATAGTGATCTAACACAAAGATAGGTTCTGGTTAGTGCTGCCTACTCGTATCTATCTTTTTTCTATTATCCAATTTTCAAACTCTAGGTTTAAATTAATTTTGGTTTATGATCCATCTTTTTTTACTTAAATGTTTTAATTTAAACTTTCAAATATTTTGCTTCTATTTAAAAAATGTTTATTATAAATTTTTAACTTTGCATCCAAACTTTTTTTTTTTTTTTTAATTATTAGTACCTAACTACCATACATTTGGCTTCAACACATTTTCCTACATTGGTACCTACTCATCCAATAAATGAACAAAACACATGCTACACAAGTTTATATATCTTACCAAAAAATAACCATAAGAAATTAACTAATCTTTTCTTTTATACATATGTAAATTTGGAAACTTAAACAAAATGTTTCGGCTCAAGGGACCAAAACGAAATAACCATATACAAATTTCTGCAACGACTAAACTAGAATTCAAATTAAACTTCTATATTCTATTAGCAACAAAAGTTTTAGTACGCTGGTAGTTGCTACTACYTTACCAAAATAAATGAAATGGCATACAATAAAATAATATTTTTATTTATATTACATGGTTAAATATTAATKGAAGTAGCAGTACTCCCGATTAATATCTTAATACTCTTTTTGTTTGAAAAATTTCACTACATAATATAAATTAATATTATTTATTGTCATAACATTTTCTTGTCCAAAAACTTTCTGGATTTTCATCAGAGAAAGACTCTCTCGCAGCAAGGTTTTACACATAGGATCAACTACTTTCTTTATCTTGCTTGCCGTTGGTCCCTATTTTTTTCCAAATATAGCAAGCTTGATGTATATAATATTTAAGTTTATACTCATTTAAATTATTGTGTTATTTTTGTAAAATTTCAAAATTTCAAAATTTCCTATATTTAAAAATACATATTTAGAACTAGTTGGATATTTATGTAAATTAATTTTGAAATGGGTGCAGCATAGGAAGCTTAGCACATAGCATGAATGAGGCCGGGGTGGGAAACGTCACCGTTTCAGATGCAATTTTCTCGGGCACCGAAAATGGGCTGAGAATAAAAACATGGGCCCGGCCCAGCTCTGGATTTGTGTACGGAGTCCAATTCCTCGGCGCCACTATGCATAATGTCCAAAACCCCATCGTCATTGACCAACACTACTGCCCGCACAACATAGACTGCCCCGGTCAGGTAAAACACATATCATTTTTTTTTCCGTAATTTCATCCTTAAATATATGTTTTAGTTTCTCATGTTTGAGTATTTTTTAAGTATATTTTTCAATTTTATCCTAATATTTTTAACTATATCATTTGTGTTTGCAAGTGTTAAAATTATTTGACGATAAATTTACGTGACATGATACTTACTAATTTGCTAGAAATTGAAGAAGGGAATGAAAATTTTTCTAACTTCTCCAAATTTCTAAAATGTCGGTAGAACTTGATTTTCTTTCCTTTTAGATAAGTTCATTTTTATTTCTAAATTTATATGAGCTTGTTAAGTATTATGTCATGTAAGCTTATCATTAGCTAATTTTAACTTTGATTGACTGGAAGGATAAAAATGAAAGACATTAAACAAAAGAGACTAAATTGATAATTTTAAAACATTAGAGAATAAATTATAAAAAATAAAAAAAAAGAAAAAAACATAACAGAAGAACATTGGGGAAGAGGGACAAAATATATATACACATATATATTTGATTATTTGCCTAAATTTAATAATTGAATAGTGTGAGCCGAGGTTTAAAAAAAAAATACATATTAGTTTATATAATCTCAAAGTTTGGTTTTAGTTTTATTTGCGTCCTTAGACTGCCGGAGTGAAGTAAAAAGCATATATAATTTTTAATCTCTTTTCTAATATTTAAAAATTTTCAATCAAACTTATTATCAATAATCCTATTGAAATTAACAACCATATAGTGATTTGATACTTCAAAAACAAATATATTATTTTAGGTTAATATCTTTTGATTTAATTATACCATATCACCAAAATACATTATTCAATAGAATAAAGGTTCGCCAAAACGAGTATAGCTCAACACTAATTGACATATATCACAAGTTAAGGTGTTGTGAGTTCGATCTACCACCACATGTTGAAAAAAAAAATTGTTCAATTACCTTTTAAAATACTGGGGATAAAATTGAAAAATAATTTATATTTCAAAAAGACCTAATGAGTTATTTATCCTACTTTTTTTCTGTCAATATATATATTTTTTAAATATAGTTTGAAGACGATATGTATTTATATTATTTTCTATGAGCAGATTGATAGTTATTTTACTTGTGGTGCACTTGAAATCTTTATTTAGAAGTTTATAATTTATTTTCAGACGTAATTACAACTTCGATTATATCTAGTCTTTCATTTTTTTTAATGAAATAAAAACTAATTTATCCTTTTTTTTTTTAATTTGTTTTACTTGAATATGAGAACAGGAATCGGGTATCAAGATAAGCAATGTAATATATAAAGACATTATAGGAACTTCAGCAACACCAATTGCCATAAAATTTGATTGCAGTTCAAAGAACCCTTGCAATGGAATAAGGTTGGAGAATGTTCGTTTGACGTACCAAAATGAAGAAGCTAAATCATCTTGTGAATATGTCAAGGGAAAAACGTTGGGTTTAGTTCTACCAGATGACTGCTTTTCATAAGCATCCTTGATTTTGTTATTTTGATAGAACCTTCGTCAAGACTTCAGTGACATCCCGACGCTTGAGAAGAAAAAAGATAATATGATTTATTAGGGTCATTTGTTAATGTTTCTCTCCCGCTTTTTGTTTGTTCTTTTCAGTTTTTTAAAAAGGTAAGTGTTTGGTGGTCAACTATTCTATCTTTTTTGTTCTTTTTTTTAATTTTATTTTAAGTAGGGTTACCAAAATTGTATACACATTTTAGAAAGGTAAATATATGATTTTAGTCATTTGATATATGAGTTTATTTTTCAATTTAGTCGATGTAGTCCTTTTTAATTATACCTTTTACGACGTTAGTAGAATGTTAGAATTGATTATGATAAATTTACATAGAATATGTTATTTAGTGAGTTTTGAGCTTAGTACATAGTTGTACACGAGTTCACACACAATTAAGGTTTGAACCCCACCACCCAACATAAAATAATATTTACACCAAGGTCTCCTTAGATGACATTTTTCCAGTGTGACATCCTCCTCGACTTGGTGTCACATAGATAAGGTAATTTAGATAACGTTCTTCTTTCCTGTTTCTCGTTTCCTATTTCTTGTTTCTAATTTTATTTACAACTAGAAACAATATGTGTTCCTAATCATTTTTTTTCTTGTTTCTTGAAAAAAGAAAATAGAAACAAAAATATGTTTGATAACTATTTCCTGCTTCTCATTTATGTTTTTATTAGTTTTTTAGTATAACAATTAGTAGGGTTCGAGATTCGAATCGACGACCTCTTGATCGAGAATTATATACCTTAACTCAAGTTAGTTTACTTTTATTTTTAGTTAAATAAAATTTAGTAAATATATAATATAAAAAGATATAATATATACTCGAATAATATAATGTATTAAAGGAAATATAATTTACCATATAAAAGAATAAATTGTTAGCTTTAAAAAAGAATCAAATTGCTTTAAAAAATAATAAAGAATAAAATTTCAAAATATTTTTAATTTAAAAAATAGAAAATCTTTTGTTTAAAAAAATATAATAGGTTTAAATAAAGAATAAATTTTCAAAAATATTTTAAATTAAAGTATATAAAATACAAAAAAATCAAAAAAATCAAATTTATACTATATTAAAGGAATATTATAAATTTCGTTAATATAAAAGTATAAATTATTAGTTTAAATAAAGAATAAATTTAAATATTTTAAATTAAAAAATACAAAATACAAAAAAAAGGGAAAAAAATCAACATTTTGAGTATAAAACTCTAGATATGATAATGAGTGAATAATATAATTGAGGTAGACCCATGCACCGCCGGACCATGGTTTAATTTTATAGGATTTGGCACAAATAATATTATTTAACTTAAAGTAGTGTCTGGATACAAAAATTAAAGAAATAGAAACCGAAAAAACAAAACTAATTTTTGTAATTTCAAAAATTTGGTTCATTTTTAGGAACATTTCAGAAACGAGAAACAGAATTTGTTACCAAATATGTCTGCTTTTCAAAAACAAGAATAAGAAACAATAAAGGGTAATGTTGACAAACGAGCCATAATGTCAGTTTGGTACAATTTCTATTTTTTATTTTTATTTCTCGTTTCATGTTATTTGTGTTTTCTCTTTTTTAATAAATAAAACAAAATCACGTTTGATAAATTATTTAATGTTTCTTCTTCTTTATTCAAATAATAAACACATAAATCATTTATTGTTTCTCACTCGGTAAACTTTTGAAATAAAAAGTAATGTTTTATATGAAAATTACTTTTTTAGATTAAATATTCAAATATTCTATTTTTTTAACATTTTATATGTATTTTATAAGTCAATAATAATAAAATAATGCTTCTATTTATGTTTTGGAAAAAGAAATTGAAAATACGAATAAAAAAAAACTTGATTTAGTTGTTTTCAAAATTCCTGTGAACATTTTTTAAAAATGGGTGACAATAAATGGAAATAGTTACCAAACATTTATATTATCGTTCTTTTTTCTTGTTTTTTTCCTTTCTATTTTCATAATGGAAAGTAAAATTGCATAGCCCCAACACTAATGGATTCAAGATGATAACCCAACATTTTTATTTATGATTTGAAACAAATTGGAACCGGGAACAAGAAAAAAAAAAAAGAAACTTAGGACTTGTTTGGTAAGTTCTAATCTCCCTTGTCCCATTTCATGTTTCTTATTTAAAAAAAAAAAAGACTAGAATAGGAATACGTTCGATAACTATTTTTGTTTCTTTTTTCTTAGAAAAAATATAAAAACAAAAATAGATTCGGTAACTATTTCTTATTTCCTATTTTTAATTTTAGGTTTTTTTCGGTACAACAACTTATGGGGATGAAGATTTAAACCCACTACCTCTCGGGGATGTATATCTTAACTCATATTGACTTATTTTTATTATTAGTTAAAATAAAATTTAGTAGATATAATATAAAAAAATATAGCATATATTCGAAGTATATAGTCTATAGTCTATAGTATATATAAAAGGTGGAATAAGGAGAAACTTTTTAGGTCAATTTTACCCTTCTTCAATAACTCATTTTTATAAAAGTTGGATGGCAAATTTGTCATCTACCTCCCCTACTTTCTTCCTCTCTCTCATTCCCACGCCCACTTCCTCATTTATCTCTTTTTTTTTTGTTTGAAAATATTTTATCTCCACCTGTACAAATCCATTTTCTTGCATTCATTTATCTTAATTCTCTCATTATATTTCTTTCACATTTACTATCCATTCATTTTTTCTCCACCATTCAAATGCATTACTCAAATTAACCTACCCAAATAACCATTTATCTTTTTTTTTCCTTTTAAAATTATAATTTCACTTAATCTTGTTTAGAATATGAAAAGTTTTATCATCTATTTAATTTATTTTTTAATCCTATAATTTGAAGTGTTTTTCTCTCCTCTCTCTTCTATTAATTAAATCTATATACTATTTTTGCCCTCTCACTATAAGTCTTTTCATTTTTCTTTTGATGACAATTGTGTCATTTAAATACAAATTTTCCCTCTCTCAATTTATCTCTTCTCTCCGTCACATCTCACCCCTTTAAATTCCCTTATTTTCTCTTACTAATCTTCTCTCTCTTAATTATTCTTTCATTATTTTTATCTTTATTTTTTTCACTCCTTTCATCTACCACATACCCTCCTCCAATCCTTTCATCTTCCGAACCCCCTTCCAATTATCACATACCCTCTCCCAATCCTTTCATCTTCCTAACCCCCTTCCAATCCGTATATAAATGTGTCCTCTCTTTCTAATGTCAACCAAAAATCAAGAGGTGGTGGATGGAACAAAGTAGAAAATTTTCTAAGTGATGTGATGGTATGAAGATTACTCTCTTACTTTAGCAACGACAACAACAATGCACATATGAGTGATCGAGAGGATAATGATAGTGAAGAGAAGCCAAATTAAAGCTGAGTTGATGACATCAGTTCGCTTTTTCCAAATTTATCATTGTTCAGATTGAAAGAAATTCTAGAGTACAATGTGTCGAGATGATGGTCGATAGAATCGAGATCAAGCAAAATTCGATCATTCTCATAATTTAGATAATAAGAATGCTTATGAGTTTGATTTTTTTTTTTTTGTGTAAAGTGATGCTTTTGATTTATATATGTGAAATGTTGTAATTATTTTTACAAAGTTAGGGCAAAAAAGCATTTTTATCCCTCTCAATATCATAAGGTTGGACTTTTTAGGGTTTACTCTTTCTCTCATTCTTACCTTTATTTTTCATTCTAGAATGAACAAACTTAATGATTTAACGTCACACAATTTAACAAAGATAAAATGTAATATAATAATTTATAATCAAGAAAATTAGAGGTAAA